GCGCATGTTTAGATATTATGGAGATGCTGCAGGTAGTTAATCAAAGATTTTTCAGCCTAATGGTGACACATTCTTCCTACTGATGAAATGTGAGGGACTGCACAACCCCTTGTAGGGATAAAACTAATGTAATCATTAATGAACGCTGTTCTTCATGCTTTGCCCGGGTTGTTACCTGGCAGGAGCCACAGCACTGATCTCTGTAACCATTTCTCTGCCCTATTTAGATGAAAGTGTTGAAGTCTTGTTTTAGAGTCATTCTTTTTTACTCGTTAACTAGTTTAATCGGTTGTGGAATCACTTCAAAGAGACAAAGAAACACAATCACACAATTTAATATTATTTACAGATTTCATAATGATTGTTTTCTTTTTGTTCATTTCTCCCTGAGCTCCTGAGTTTAATCCTTTACCTGACTGCTCCACATTCTCCTGATAATTCTCACCTTCTTGTCATTCAGTCTCTTCCTCAGCAGATAAAAATAATTCTGTTCCATTAACTCGTGCCGGATTCTTCCCTGTTGGCACCCGTCCATACAAGTTGTTTTTCTGTATTCATGTCTCAGTTGCTTTTATCCATCAAGGCCTGTTTTTGATGTTCTAAGTTATTTCCTATTCATTCAATCTTCTTTACCTGCAGCATGAGGTTCCATTTTTCTTTCCGTTTCTTTTTGTATTATTTTTTTATATTACTTTATTTTAAACTACATTTTTGCTCCTTTATCTTTGATATTTGTTTCCTGTTATTTCAAATGTTATTTTAAAAATTTAAACCTTTAAAATTATACATACACCAACACATTGTACAAGGGATACCAATATTCTATTTGGTTTATTTATATAGTACCAATTCACAACACGCGTCATCTCAGGCCATTGACAAAACGTTTTAAGTCTAATTTAAGTCTAATTTAAATTAGTAATTTTGTGACGTACATCATTTTGTAATTTTTTTCCCATGTTTTAGTGCTGTACAATGTGTCTATGACTGACTTAAGTTTTTGGTGTCTTCATACTTTTGCTTTGGGCTTGGATTGGGCTGCTCTTAATGTTTGTTTTGTTCAGTGTTATTTTGAAATGATGAACAGATAAAGTTACTCAATGCAAATAACATCCGGTTACATAAACTGTGTGTCAACACCAGAGGTGGGTGGTGGCTAGTTACATTTAGTCAGTTACAATGTCTTAAGTAATATTTAGAAAAAAAAAACTTTTCTTTTGGGAGTAGTGTTACTTTACTGTACATTTTATTTTTACTAAAGTAATATTGTATATTGTTATTACTCTTACTCGAGTCAGTTATCTTGTAACTCTACTTGAGCCATTTGGAGATCAGGTGAAAATGGAATCACTTGCAGGTGGACATCCTTTATAAGTTTATGTTCAAATAATTATGTGGAAAAGGATTTTTTTGCACCAATGTATTATTCTGTAATGATTGTATCGATCTGATTTCTTTCAATTTTATTCTATAGAGAATTTGAACATACATTTGTGATTACATGGATTTAAACATTAAATCAGATGTTATGAGCCATCTCTATAGGAGTCCTTAAGGAGTCTATTTATCATGTCTCAGTAACTTCTTTGATGGTGACTTTCTACTTTAAGGCTACTCTTACTTAAGTACCCGCCTTTGGTCAATTTAAGAATATTTCCTTTTACTTAATAAGCGCAATTAAAATTTCATCAATTAGTAATAATATAATTGAACTTGATCATATGCTGAAATTGATCTCACATTGGAGACATTTACCTCTGCATTTAACCCATCCCCTTTGGGGACCAGTGGGCTGCCATTGTTGGGCGCCTGGGGAGCAATCTTGCTTAGAGACCCAGAGTGGCAGTCTGTGGGAGTGGGGCTCAAACACAGAACCTCAGGATTCCAAGCTCTATGCCTTAACAACAAGGCCGCCATTCGCCCCAGAAAATATAGAAATGCATTAAATCAAAAGTTTATCCAAAATACTTAATTACACAGAGAGACTAACATGGTAAGGTGTAAGTAAGCATACAAAACATACAGTTTCATATCGACTTAAAATTTGACATCAGAATAAAAAACATGAGCATTTTTTTCATATCTTCTTTATTCATATTGTTTTGATGCACTCATGGTATCAGGATTTTCCAACAGTTTTTCTGATTGTTAACACACTAGACATAAGATACGACATGGTTGTCTAGTCTGCTATGATGTGAACTCATAATATCATATCAGATACACACATTACTATCAGTATTTTAGAACAAACTGTGCATTATTTATGCTGCTGCAGAGTTCCTGTCTGCTCCTGCAGTATCCGAGCTGTCAGTCAGAACAGAGAGATTTTAGAGTAATCTGAGACTTTACATCAATCTGAGCCATAAATGTTCAAGAAGCTATGAATCAACAGAGGCTGTGGACACAAAGCACCGGGAATATGATGTATGAGAGGAACAGTTAGAAGATAAGTACCTCAGGAAACACATATGAGATGGAGAAGCCATAGATTTGGGGATGCATGTCTAATTGCAGGCTGAAATATCAAACAGGGCCGATGTTGACCCCGAAGGGTCCTCAAAATTCTCTCTGAACACTTATTCATTCTGCCAGATTTCAGGCAATGTGGGGCTGCTGAATTATGAGGGTGATCTGTTAAAATGCAAATTTTACAGACAGTTTTGAACAGATACCCTCAGTCCATTATTCAGGTTTCTGAAATATTATTGTCCTATTCACCTAAAGGCACAGGCTGCCCAGACTCAGAGAAGATTCATTTAGAAATGAGTTGAGAAAAGTCATTAAGATTTAAACAGACTTGATATACACAGCCTTAAACGTCATATGCACCACGTTAGTAATTTACCAATAAATTCAACAACCCAACCTTTTATCGTGAAATCGCTAAAGACAGATTGGTTAGAGAATGCAACAACAAAAACATTCATTTTAGAAATAAGAAAAGTATAGAAATTTAATACTGAATTATAAACTATAATTCAGTTTTTAATTTCTATATTTTCATCTACAAAAACAACCATCTACAAGTGGGGCACATTCATTTAAAAAGCATACATATGTTTTTGTTTTTCAGTTTTTTTTTAACCAAAGCTTGCTGGGATTCCATTTCAGCTATACTCGTATAATAAGTTAGATATGTTTTGCATAACTATGTATTTATATATATATATATATATATATATATATATATATATATATATATATATATATATATATATATATATATATATTTTTTTTTTTTTTTCTTTCTACAATCTTTGCAAATTGAAAATCTAACACAATGAGATATGCTGCCGCTTCTAATCTTAATGTGTCATATGTCCAACACAGCGCCCTCTGCTCGGACGGATTTCAGGGTAGGTAAGAGCTCTGCAGAAAGCAAATAAAACATTAACATTTAATATATAAAAAACAAAATGCTCTAATTTTATAAGGTTAAAGAAGAAGTTGTTTTAGGAATTATATTAAAACTGTACTATGAGCTGAAATATCAACAAGTCATATCAAAAATGTTGGTAGATAGCTATAACTTTATAGCAGCTTTCTTAACTTTAATACAACTTTTCAAGCAAACTTTTTATACTCAGGTTTGGGCACAACTCATGTTTCTGTCAAGATGAAAGGATGCTGCAATATACAAAATGTCCCTGGTGAGTGAGGTAGATAAAAACACAATCCTAAACCAATATAGAGTATGAGGAAACAGTATATGTATACCTGCATCTCTAAGCTACAGAGTTCACAACATTATCCATGGCACTGATTGTATGTGGTACAGGCACGTCTGAAATACATCAAAATTTCTACTAATTTCTACATTACAAAGATATTTTTTCTCACATGAAGGATATTTGTGTAAAATTAAAGATACCACAGAGGATGATCTATATCCTTGCACTTTCTAGCCCTTTTTAGCCTTTTTTCAGCCTAATTCCCCTAACTATACTGTATTGCCATCTTTCAGTTCTTATAATCTTGTTCTGGTTTCATGCATTTCTTCTACTGCTAAATAACTTTATTTTTGTGCAAGTATTTCCTATTAGGTGAAGCGAGGAACATTTCGCTAGCTGCTAACGCTATTAACGAGGAAGTAAATGTTTTCTATAGGAGTGGGATAAATGAAAGTAAATAGCACCAACGCTGAATTAAACAAACAGCTGTAAAGGCTGATTTATGCTCAGAAACCAGGTTGTCTGCATGAGTCGCAGAGAATGCAAATGTGCTCCCGCCCCTTCCGCAGACACTCTGCTGCACCTCTCTAAAATTGTAGGTGACTGCAGACAGGAGGCCTCTGATTGGTCAAATCTACATCTGCTCTACACTATGCGTATTTCCTGTTTGGTACCTTACCGGCTTGTTTTGTTTGTATAACCGCCATTACTCACTGCTGCCACAGTGTGTCGCAGTGAGCTTGATGCAGATATTTTTGATTTATGCCCAATTTTAAAGCATGGTCTGCACTATGTTATTCCATGTGTGTCTAGATACGGCCGAGGCGGTGAGGAAGGGGAAAGTTTTTGGTCAACGGAGGGACTTGAGGGCGAAAAAGAGCGGGGATCCAGGTGGAAAAAGGGTCCCAGCATTCTTGCACACCTCGCTCTTCTAGCCGGACCATCTTCACGGATCGTTTTCTGCAAAGGCGGTTATACAAGCAAAACAAGCCGGTAAGGTACCAAACAGGAAATACGTATAGAGTAGAGTGGATGTAGATTTGACCAATCAGAAGCCTCCTGTCTGCGCACTGTCTGCGCTCACCTACAATTTTGGAGACGTGCACAAAAGCGTCTATGGAAGGGGCGGGGACATATCTGTGTTCACTGCGACACACGCAGACGACCTGGTTTCTGAGTATAAATCAGCCTTAATAGTCACCAGTCTGACAGTAATGAATGCAAACCTTGCTGAGATTTGCTAAGAGAGAGAAATGATTGCTCTCCCTTTAGCTTAAAAAGGTCAAAGCAAAAATTAAAATATTGATCTGATACAAAAATATTAATAACATAAATCCAAGTACATATATAACTAAATTTGGTTGTCTTATGTAAGCTCAAATTCACAGTGGGAGGTTTATGTCTATCCAGAATGCTGCTCCAAAATGGGCTAAAACTCACCAACTTTTAGAGATGAACCAATAAGATACCTGGATCTAATTTTAGCTCCGATATTGACTGATTAGACCAAGGATTGGGGGAAAAAACTGGATCTGAGCTTCTCTACTAAAGTTAAACCTAAAATCAGACCAGACTTCACACTGATCTTTACAGGAAGCAAAGAAAAAAAAAAAAAGAAAAGAAAGAAACATTTACATCTTCAACAATATCAGATGCGTTTGGTTTGGGTTCATTAATTTAAATAAATCAAGAGTATTCACTGAGAAGTATGGAGCTAAACCTGAAATACTGAATGTAAATGTAAGTACAAATAAAAATGTATGCATTATATTTTCTGTTTCTAGATAACAACTAACTTGGTTTGTGAAGAGCAAATGCAGCAGTGCTGTTATTCACAGACAAACATTGTGCCATTCAGATGAACTTGGCATCACTTGCATTAATTTAGCCCTGACAAGCCTCCTCCTGAGCTGCAAACACCAACTCTGATTACGCAACATATACACCTCCATCCTGACAATTATCTTTCTTTTTTTTTTGCAAATTACAAATTATCCTCACAAATGCTAATACTATTCCCTCCAAGGTGTAGTGAGCTTGATTGCTCACATATAAAGTCAGCACTAGTTGACTTCATGAACAAAGCATATTAACCTTCATGAATAACAGCATGTTAGGCTCTAATTGAGACTCCATGTCTTCAAACCATCACTGCCAGGGCCTCTGACTCTGGGCCGACGGCGACAGGCTGGCAGCAGCCGATACAAACGTATCTGAGGATCCAAAGGTAGACCGTGCCAGACAAGGTGACAGTCAGGGCCAAGAGCAAGAGGCTGATGAGGCTCTGGGGGCTGAGCAGGATGGCGGAGGAGGCAGTGGAATCCTGGGAGGTATTCTGGGCTGCAGGAAGAGAAACAGACAAAATGAAGAGGAAGATGTCACAAAAGATTTAGGATCCAGAGTGAAGGAAAGTGTGAGGGTGTGAGATGATGCTAGAGACTGTCAGACATGGAAAAGATGTGAAACAAAAAAAACAAATAACACCCTCTAGTGTCCATGTGATGCTGTAGCTACTGCAGGACAACACTAATAAAACTAACTACAAGCCAGATTCAACCCAAATAAATAAATTATGTTCATGGCCTAGAGTTTATGATTGCCCAGATTAAACCAGATAAAATCAGTTATATATATATATATATATATATATATATATATATATATATATATATATATATATATATATATATATATATATTAGCACGATATTGGGATTTTGGCCGATATCCGATATGCCAAAATATTTTAAAACTCATGTAGCCGATAACCAATATCGATACCGATATTAAAGCTGGACAAAAATAAGTAGTCATTGAAAATAGCAGTTTTGTTATCCATTTCTGACACTTTGAAAAA